ACGAAACTTCGAACTTTCTTTAAGACAACAGCAACAGAATCAGACCACTACGAGATTTCAGAAAAAAGGAGCTTCCAATTTTATAATTTTTATTTTTGAAACTAAACGTCCCATGAATAAACTATAATTGTAAAGAAGTTCCGTCTTATCATTCCCTATAAGCTAATATCTTTGTTTAAATTCACGCTTCTGTGCCTCTTAGAATTTCCAACAGAAATCGTTCCGCAGTCGAAGGAAATGCCTTGGAAAGATGCATCTACGCTGTAATAACAACGTAACATTAAACTTGAAGCAGTGCTATAACCGAGGAGCTGTCAACAGAAACTCGTTAAGCATTTTTTTGCTCGGCTTGTATAGAAAATGGGATCGACAAAAAATAGGAAGAACAGGATGTAGACGCTTTGCGTGAAACGGAGATAAATTGATGTTTACGCTCTGGTCTTCGCGCTTCTCTCGACTTCTTCTCATTTTTCGTTAGAAAGAAGAATCGGTACGGTTATCTTCGTTGATTGTTTCAGCATCTTCGACTGTTTCGGCCAGGTGAGCCGTAAAACAGCCGGTGATTTCTCCAACTGTTACGAAATCGAAATCTGCGCGTCTACGCCTCATTTAGATGGGTTTTTCGACATGCAAATGCGGTAGAATTATCCATTAAGGCTGCAATTATTTTTTGCCGATTGCGACTTTCATCAATTTCCCTTCGGAAATGGCATTCCTCTAAGAAACGTTACGAGTGTTTCATTCATACTGAAAAGTGTGTTGCTATTGCAATAGCGTGCGTAATGTGGTGAATTAATTGAACTGAATCACTATAAAAGATAGTATTTCTTGTACGTGCTACTATACTATCGTTTTCACGAATTCTTCCACTAACATTGAGAGTGATATTTAAACCTCTTTAGGTTTAATTTTATTCGTGACAATTGTAACAATCGTGTAACGTTAAATCGATTTATAAATACGGATTAACAATGAATTCAGCAGTTTCTGTGAATACGTTTTGTGACTGATGACAAGGTAAAAAACATACATACATATATATGTATGTGTGCGACAGTAATTATATATATATATAATTCGTTTATCGTTGCTTCGCAAAGGAAGCAATGGTTCCCACACGTTTATAATATTTACATTTACTTTCATTGCATAAAATTCTGAAAGCAGCAGAAACGATTAATTATTGTTTTTGCGCGTCTATTACCACTTTCTCGTTAGCCTGCTTCCGGAAACGAAAGCAAATAGCAAAGTTTTAATTTTGTTTTATCTCTTCTTCTCTTTGCAACCAGTGAAACTAGTTTAGCCGTCAGAAACGAGATTAATTATACTCTGTTATTATTCCTTGTAGAAATAAATGTGCTCGTTTCGTTTTAATAATCGTCTCAGATGGCGCCTAAATTTGAAGCTCACCAGAATTTTTCTAGATGGTAATCATATAGTATTTTTTTTTTTTTTAAATATAATTCAAATATATTTCAAATTTATATTTAACGAGTAATAGATAAACATTTGTTTAAATTCGTTATTAGAAATTTTTATCTAGTGAAGTGTTTTCCCCATTTCCATAGAAAACCCGTAACGATAAGAAGGTCAATAAGATGAATCCATGTGAATAGCGATTCGCAACGAGATCAACGCGTTGAAATGCGCAACACGATGATCCTTAAATAAAAATCAGTCAGCGACGCGACACTGCATAGTAATTAGTATCCCGTCAGCTTGAGCTAACAGTATCGGGAGTATAGCAACACCGTTGTCTTCGCGAGAGGTGTGTCAACCTACATTTAAGTTACAAATTCTTTCCATTTTCATGGCATTCTGCAATGTTAATACTTACACGTTTAGTTTTCTACGGTAACGTTCAAATTTTTTACTCAAACGTTGACCACCTTTAATCTCGGATATACGTGAGTTTTTTGTTTCCAAAAACTTCACATCGTTAAGCAACCACACAACACAATCAGATGGTGTACATTAAGACTAGGTCAGCGATTCCTAGTTTCCTGATTAGGAGAAAAAAATCTACTGTAATTATATATTAGGTTGTCCCAAAGGTTTCGTTCCGTGACTTGCATTCAGTTATTTTTGTGTAGCAATGTTTATATAAATAGACAATCTAAATCTTAGATGTTAATGTCGTAACAGTAATGGAGCAAAATGAATCGTACGCGATTCAATAATGTAATATTGGACATAAAACATTGTGTATGTATTACTTATTAATGAAATGGAAGAAACTTTTCGGACAACCTAATACACTGAATAAACGATAAATCGATGCTAATCTTTTATTCCTTATGAAATTTTTTATCTAGATAAGAACATAGAACAGTTTTGGGTCTGAAAATGATTCTAAAAAAAAAAAATTCCATTAGGCAGAATTGTCACACGATAATTTTTAGTTAATTCTTTTTTGTTTTTTTCTTTTCGAATAAATAGATGACATTTATTATATAATATCAAATGTTAAATATATTAATAACAGTTAGTACGAAGAATGACTGTTTCTTCTTGTTAATAAAATCGCAACCGTTTTTGCGTATGCAGAAAGAAATACAAGTAGGTATGGAAACAAACATCCTGGGAACAATAGCTAGGAAAAATGTTACCTTAAGTAACGAATAAAATGTAACAGGGAAGCAATACTCGTGGGACTTTCAATCCACAGGCTGCATAAACGCTTTCAGCTCTATTTGGTATCGAAGCACTTACGTAAGTCAGCCAAACGAGTCGAGTCTTACTGCAGATTGTGAATCGTCGACGACCTGTCCCTCTCTCACTGACAAACGTTGCAGTATTTATGCATTCTGCGCATTTCGTGTATTACAATCCAATTGTTATATAATTTGAAACGTCTATAAGAAAAGGTCACGTTCTGAGAAGTTCGTTTACAAGACCAGGATAGATTTCTCAGCAGACAATAGATACACCATTGAGACACTTAGTCACGTGGGTTCGTTACCTTGGCGGTTTAAAAAAAGAGGCAGATTTTAATATTAGTTGAAACGCTCCGTTACCTTTTGACACGTTAACTCTCACATGAATGCTTCCGAATATTTCTATAAGATCAAAATTTTCTTTTGAACAAATTTAACTGACCCATTTCCGAAATTGTCCAACGTAATGCATGACTTCATCGCACAGTATACATTGTAATCTTTCATTGAACCAATAGGGCATTGAAAAAAGTTTATCTTGGATTGAATTATTCACAAGTTTTACTAATTGTTAAACAACAAATTTTATCCATGTTATATTAACATCTTAAATGAGTGGTATGTAATCGATTTATTAATAAACGAAAATTTAAAAAAAAAAAAATATATATATACATGTTGAATAGAGGAACCTCCTCCTTTTCAAAGTCGGTTAAAAAACGAGTTCCAACGAAATGCCATGAAGTATGCGTTGTACGTATACCCTGTAAAGAGGCAATGCAAAGAACTCTCCAGTAATTTAATTTTACTTTAACTAACAATAGTTCGAAGTCACTTTTATGAAGTTATTAGTGATTTGAAATACGAAGCACCGTGCTTTACAAAAGTTAAAATAACGCAAGGAAATATACTTTAGCATCTGTTGAACTTCAACGATTGATGTAAATTATGTTAATGCAAATATGTAAATGACTAAATTACTCGCATTACCTATTCTAAATTAAAAATTTTCTTTTGTATTTTTTTTTTCTTTTTTCTTTCTTTCTTTTTTTTTTTACTGCACGGCGCTTCTCCAAGGATCGCAGCTCACACTCTGAAGAGCCATCACCCAAGCGTATCATAAAAGCGTGTACTTTCAGATTTACCCGTTTCAAGCCACTACACGAGCGTTAAACTGTTAATAAACGATTCGAGTGTCCACGATTCACGTTCTACTTGGTAGAAAGAAGAATTCAACAATTTCGCTGTTCAACGTGCGTGAAACCCGAACATTTCTCTTTTACGACCAGGAAATCAACGGAGATTTTCGATAATCTCGTTACGAGTGAAGGAAACGAGAGAACAAGGAAAAAAGGAATTGTCGCTTTTTGCGCGCGCGCGCGCGCGCGCGCGACCGGGAGTATAAAATCACGCCGAAATGGCCATTCGTTGAGCAATCGTTTCGATCGCATTACGACATTCTACAATGGTACCGTGTAATTTCACTTTCGCCAGGAGATCGCAATTGCACAATTTTCGTCGCGCCAGACGAGACATTCGGGCGGACCTAGAAAGCGTCTAGGAAATGCTAATTTACCGGAGTTACTGGTCTTGGTATTACGTGCGCGAGACCTCGCCGAGTATATTTGCCGATGCGATGATCTCGTGCAACGTTGGTGGACCCGTTTTACCGTCGATCGTTGACAGTATCACATTTGTTAGAAGCTCTGTGCTTAGGGCTCAAGAGTTTTGAGGATTTAAGGAGAAAAGCCCATCTTGAACGCGTTAAAGGGACAGCTATATTCAACAATTCTTTTTTTTTTTTTTTCGTCAACAATTGATTTAATATAAGATTTGTTTGCTGAGATTTATTATACAGGGTGTATACATGCTAAAGTGTGACAGACGCATATTTCAATAACTATCGATATTACGAAAATATCGTTTACTATCGCGTGATCCTCCCAAAAATATATACACTAGTTCCATTTAAAGAACGAAACTTCACCGTCATATCTTTGAAATTAATAACGTACGAGAAATTTCGTTAACGCCACAATATAGAGCCCATTGTGAGCCCAGCTTCGGAATTGTAATATTTTTGTCAAGTCCTCTGTATTAGAAACACACGCGTGTTGAGATAATTTTAATTTTTGTATTTGAAACTCGAACGTCGAATGAATAAATTACTAATGTAAAAATAAGTTTCATCCTGTCATGTCTTGTATGGTGATATTTTTTAATCTAATTTTAATCTAATTTTCAAGGACGAGTATATACGCCCTCGACAGCGAAGGGGTTAAATTCATTCATGCGCGAGATTTGTGAAAGAATTTACTTGCATCATGAATATTTGTGTTACAGCGGTCACGGAACGAGGATGAGCAATTACGAAGATCGCAGAAAACCGCGGACAGGTGCTTCGAAGAAGCCGAGGACTGCGTTCATCATAGGAAATGACCATGACGAGCGTGGCTGTCGCCCCGGGTAGCCTCGGCGCACCTCCATCTATGCTCACCCCAAAGATGTATCATCTACAGCAGGGGTTAAGTTCAACATCGGCCTCACCCAGTCCTGAAAAAGTAAGAATCATTGTTAACAACCGATACAATCCATTATACAGGCGTTTCCAAAATGGGCTTCAATGTTTTTTAATAAAACAGTAACGGCATGTAATATATTCAATTTTGTTGTTTTAATTACTTTATTTAAGGTCACGTCAACTACGAGGCTATAAGTGACCACGTCAATGAGTAAAATTTAATTATAATTTATTTAACTATATTTTTGCTATATTTCATTAACACGTTGGCTGCCAAGCTAAAACTCGTGAAAATTTCTATACACTTAAAATTTTGTCTCGAGACTATTGTAAATTAGATAATTTAACATCTCTCTTTAACGTCCTTATTATTTTTATTCTTTGCTGCCAATTACCTTTCACCTTTCCGATGCGCGGTTCCCGATTCAATTTCGTATCAAAGATTAATCCTTACGATTTTCTGTTGTAACTCCATGTTTATCTGCTGGTTGTTTGAATTGAAATTTTATGAAACCCATTTATATGATAAACAACGTATCATTCGTGCAACTAAAAGTGCGCATCTTGAATTTACGAACCGAGAACAGAACCAAGGTCATGTATTCATTTCGACGGAAACCGTATAGAGAAAGTTCGCACAGCCGGATTAATAATTATGATTCGTGACCTACCGCTTATGTAACGGTATAGAATACGTATAATAACAGCACGTAAGTTTCCATTGCTGGTCTCGTATATCGTTCAGCTCGTGTTGTTCGCCAATTCCTTTGAGTTTGAACAGAAAGAAACGTAAATGAGGTAGGTCAAAGCGATTTTATATACACAACGATGCACCCTAATTTTTCATCCAATTTGCAATCCCCTTTTAATAAATATTTTAATAGATAACATTTATAATTTCTTCAATCTGAATCTTCGTTTACACGCTAGTGAAACAACACTATGAGATTTTTTCTTACTTTTTTTTTTTAATAATTTATAATACTGGTATCCGTGATTTTATTTGTCGAAGGAAATGAATGTACAAGATGATCCAAAAAGATGGTCGACCAATGTGAAGGCATATCGGTACTTACAGAAAGAGAATGTCTGGTTTCCAGTAAAACGTCTAATTAACACAAGTATGCAAATCAAACCTGTTAGAATACTTTGAAATTTCCTGTTTCAGTGCTACGGGTGAATTATTATATTTATTATTATTTATAATTCTTCGTTAACTAAAGGTTGCCGTTGATTTATGTATTTATGCATTTAATTGGTAATTACGTATTTAAAACAGTACTAAACGATTATATGATTACAAGGTTCGTGACTATCTCTTTCAAGATTCCTCTCCAAGCTTGTGTTAAGTATAGATGTGTTGATCATTGCTGAACTGCGTATCTTTACGTATTTACACGAAATTTGAATGTGCAAGATATTTCACATAAGCACGATAAATAACATATGCAATATACTATTGCAATATACTATTGCATATGTTTTGAAACATATATATGCAAAATATGCAAAATAAATAATGTATTTTTATAGTACTCCAATATCAAAACAAATTTCTGTCTAGATCCGCAGTCTACTTATTATTATAGTTGTAACATTTTCAAAAATACCAATGACTGAGGTTACATTTATGAAATTAACAAAAATAATTCACAAAATTAATATCTCTGTTCCATTCTGACATCTTTTTCCTTATCTTTACTATTAAATCCTGCAGTCCGTATCTTAGTTTTACATAGCGCGTCTAAAAAATGTCGGAGGTCCTTAAAAGGGGTTTCCAAATCATCCCCCGAACCACCCCTTTCAAGGACCTCCAACATTTTTGGGGCACCCTGTATAACCACGTGTGGTCCCAATTCTTTCATACTTCTATTATTTTTTAGGGCGACCAAGGCCGCCAGTTTTATAGTCAAATTTAATACTCTTCCGACGTAAAACACGCGAGTTAGAAACAAACACTGTTATCGCAGCCTTAAGGTGATTCTGTATCGAAACCCTGAAACGAGAAACGCTCGAACAAGGACAAACCAACTCTTCGGATGATGTAAGAGCACTCGCGTGCTACATATGCCATTTAATTCGTCCAACTCTGTCACAAAGACTGGCTCCGGTTTTGCCTTAAAACCTGACCTCGTTGACGACACCGAATACTCGCTGGTCGCGCGTCTTTTGCACACCGTGGTCGAGCCTAGATGGACGCTACCTTACGTCTCAGTCCTTCTGCTAAACCTCGTAGCGTCGGATACCACGGGTCGAGTGCTTTTTATAGTTTTCACCGTGTTAGATTTCGCCTTTTCCTTGTTTGTGATCGCGATTCGCGAAGCAATCGAATTAATCGCGTCCGCCGACTCATCTTGGTAGTTTCACGAGGAAACTGCGCGAGTAAGTTGAATCTTGATCGCCGCGAAAATTTATATTTCTACAGATGTAGATAGAGCATTGAAATTTAAACGAGAACATCTCTTATATTCTAAAGAAGGTAACGTGTATTTTACTGTTGATGTTTCATATACAGGGTGTCCCAAAAATGTTGGAGGTCGTTGAAAGGGGTGGTTCGGGAAGTGATTTGAAACAACTTTTTCCTTTGCAAAAATGTCGGATGGGGCTTCGTTGAGGAGATATTAACGGAAAACACTGACCAATCAGAGCGCGCGGATACCGTTGGAGCGGCCGCGGTAGCGAAGGCTACGCGCTGAGCGGCCGCGTCGATATCCTTCGATGCACGTCGAGTCACTTGTTCGCGTACAGAGAGCGGCTACCTAGCGCGTAGCCATCGCTATCGCGGCCGCTCCATCGGTATCCGCGCGCTCCGATTGGTCAGTGTTTTCCGTTAATATCTCCTCAACGAAGCCTCGGACAACAATTTCGCTAAGGAAAATGTTGTTTCAAATCACCCCCTGAACCACCCTTTTCAAGGACCTCCAACATTTTTGGGACACCCTGTATATCAGTCACAGCTGAACAAACATTTTATAGCTAGAAATGCACAAATTGTTACACATACAAATGTAACATGCTATTAACATAGTACAGCTACAAATATAATAAAATATAAAATAATTATTCTAAGAAACTATATTTTCACCTACACGCAGCGTACTCCAAAACTCTCCAACTCTGTTCATATTACAAATTACATTATTTCTATGCACTGAATGGCTATATAAAATATGGAAACAAAGAGTAATTAATTTTTAATACACGATATCTGAAGTCCTGTTCAGTGGAATTTAAAGCATCTTATTTTTAGAAAGTAAATAACATGGAAGGTAGGTTAGACGATCGAAGGATAGTCAGAGGATAACTAAACTGTTTGAATATTTAACGTATATTTGCGGTACTTTGATCGCGTTATGATTTCTCACTGTGAGGAAACGCGGCAATTAACCTTCCCGTGGGATATCAATTCTTTGAAGAGACTTACCTTGCGTGTAAACGGTAGCGCGATATTAATGGCAATATTTAATAGGGTAATTGAGTGATTAAGCTACAATCCAGTGACAATAAAAATCCTAATTGGCTACAATGTATCTAATCTTGAGAAAACGTATGTCAGTTTAGAAAGTTCGACGTTTCAAGCGATGAACGTTGCGTTTCATCCCATGCGTTATTTATTAATAAATAAATACGATAAAAGGTAAGGAAATAAACCTCAACCTTATCATGAATGATTTTATTATACCGACTTTCTAAATATCTTCTCATAATCAGATGTTATTTTAAATACTCCAATCTCTCGATCTATATTTTCGTTTGATGATGTAATGTCGTTAATTCAAAGTTTCGTATAGATACAAATTCAAGCATGAAAATTCTGAAAACTAAATAATTAAATTTTTCAAACTTGTTTAAACGCCTAGAAAAGCGGTATTTTCGCGAAGAAAATATAAAGGAGAAAGTAAACAGGAAAGAGATTGAAAAATTCTGCATCGGGATAGGTTTCCTAAATAGATACCAATCTGGTAGATTTCTGTGCTACTTCAACCGCAGAAGTAAGTTGTTTAACTCGTCGTCAAAGTTATTGTTTCGACGCTGCACCCTGTACTTTCACTTTATAAATCTCAATACGTTATCAATAAACATTGGATTTTTAGACATTTACAGGAAATTTGAATATGCTCGAAACTACAAAATGCACACAGTATGCAATAATATAAAAATAAAACATTGAAGGTAAAGTTTGTATTATAATATCTGCCGAGTATCGAAGAGCCCGTAATCGTTTATAATAACAATGACATAAACATTACCCAATATCGTTCTGAAATCTGATAAAATTCAAAGAATCGTGGAAAGAAAGCAATCAACGTGATATTATCTCGCTATTTCGTTTCATAACAGTATTACGATCAATCGCGGACTCCGATTTTTGTGTGTCTATAATTGAGCAATCTAGCAATCGAGTAATTTCTGTTGATTTGAACGATTTAACAATCACTTAATCGTTTGAACATATAGATTTATTTTATTATTATTTAGCTGTCACAAACTGAAGACCGAGAGAAACTTTCATCTATGAGGTCCATAAATACTTCTGCATTACGACTACTTTCTTTAGATTATGAAGGTTTATATAATGAATTCGCAATACCTGGATTTACTTTAACGCGAATACCTTTCGCACACTATCGGATGCTACCAACACGGTAGTAACAGACTTCGCATGTAACCGGTTTTCCGTTTGGCCCACATTGCTATGCCGCGAATAGGATTGTCAAGACATTGTGTCCTACAAGTACATACTCACTTGTCATTCAATTAAGAAAACACGGTTTTCTAAATGTTTCTTAAGGTGGGAAACTATGTACATTAAGAGGTCAAATATTACAGGGGCTCGATTCAGGACGCTGAAAATTAAGTATTTCTTTACGAACATTTTACAAATAATATGCCACGTACGTATGTTCGTAGACCCCTCGCCGTCGAAGTTACAAAGGAGGATGCTAAAAAATGGCCATTTTTGGACCGGCTTGGAAACTAAAAATTCATGCAGGACCGTTTACAGGGTCACCCATAGAGCAAAAAACATCTTTGTCATTT